GGTTTGACTTCACAGTCCTCCTTGCCAGCTTGCTACCCACCAAGAAGCCGCACACACAGTGAAACAACCAGCGCATTCCCCCCTTCCACAAGTTCAACAGAGCGTGACATCAGCGCAACTCCTCCCCAAAACGCCTGAACACCTCCCTCCCACACATCAACAACAACAACACAATAACAACAACAACAACAACACCAACCAACAACTTAAACAACAACTCTACAACTACATCCCCCCCCCCCTTCCCCCACCCCTCCTTCACTTCCCCACCCCTCCTTCACTTCCCCCACCCCTCCTTCACTTCCACCCACCCCCTCCCTCCACCATGCACCACCACCACCACGTCCTCCCCTTCCTCTTCTACGTTTTCCTCCTCACGTCTCCTCTCCTAACCCACGCCCAGAGCACTTCGCTGACTGCGCCGACCAGCACGCTGCAAGGCTGCACGTGTGCCGCGCAGTGGACGACGGCAGCGTCTGGCTGCGACACCACCATCCAGATTGCGGGTTGTGGCCTTGTTGAGCCGTGCGGCGGCCCCACGCCAACTTTTCCCACCGGCTACCCGTACCCTCCAAACACCCACTTCTCCTCTTGGTGCAAGCTTGAAGCTTCGTGCGGCGCATTCGCTTCCTTCGACTACTGCGATCCGAGCAAAGGCGTGGATCTCAGCGCACGCGGCCTCTCAAGTGTCGCCGGGTTTCGTTTTGGACCAAACGTCACGGATATCAACCTGTCAAACAACCCCATCGACGACGCTTCCTTGTGCGACGCCCACTGGCCGCCCATGCTCGCAAGCATCAAGCTCAACAACATTGGGCTGCAGAACCTGAGCTGCCTCGCATCTCTCCCTGCCGGTGTCTCCATCGACATGAGCGACAACGCGCTGGGTGACGAACAGCTCTGTTCTGCCCGCTGGCCGGTTGCCTTGGACGCCGTCACGATTCAAAACGCCGGTCTCACCGCTACCGCCATGGCCTGCCTCGTGCACGCGCCCTTGCCCAACGACACCCGTGTGCTCAGCCTTGACAACAACGATCTTACCATTGTTGCAGATGCAGCACTGCCATCTCAGTTGCAGGTGTTGTCCCTCCAGAACAACGCCATCGCAGCCATCTCCCAGAACAAGTGGGTGTTGACGCTTCAGATCCTGCGCCTGAATGGAAACCAGCTCACCTCCATCGCCAATGCGTCGTGGCCCTCGTCCCTGAAGACGCTCCAGCTCTACGCCAACCTCATCTTGTCCGCCGATGGGCAACAGTGGCCGTCAACCCTCAACATCCTCGACCTCGAGGAAAACCTGCTCACCACCCTCGACAACCAAGTGTTCCCCACCGCCCTCACATACTTCTACGCTCGATACAACGCCATCACCAGCATCACCAACATCACTTGGTCGCCACACATGGAGCACCTGTGGCTCAGCTACAACCACATCTCCGAAATCGACACGCTTCCAGCGAGTGCCACAAACCTGCGCCTGCAGAACAACACCATCTCCACCATCCATGGCGTTGCGTGGCCAGCAAACCTGCAGTATCTTCGCCTGCAGCACAACCACATCTCCTCTCTCGACGCCCAGCAATGGCCAGCTGCCCTGGTCTACCTCGACATCGAAGGAAACAACGTCACCACACTCAGCAACCAAGTGTTCCCCAGCAGCCTCAACACGCTCTATGCCCGATTCAACGCCATCACCAGCTTCAACAATATCACATGGCCCTCGCACATGGCCAGCCTGTGGCTCAACTTCAACAGCATCACCTCAATCGACACCTTGCCCGCCAGCGTCTCCCAGCTCCAGCTCAACAACAACAACATCACAACCCTGGCCGGAGCGCAAATGCCAGTGTCTGCAACAACCATTCTCCTCTACAACAACCGCATTCCCGACATTCCCGTCAACCTCACGTGGCCCGTCGACCTGGAGGTGCTCTCACTCAACAACAACGACTTGACGTCGCTGGACCAGCAAGCCTGGCCGCCCACACTCCAAACGCTCGAAGTCAACAACAACCACATCACCACCCTCGCCAATCAAGTGTTCCCGGACACCTTGGTCGCGTTTCTCGCAAGCAACAACAACATCAGCAGCCTCTTCAACGTCACCTGGCCGTCACCGCACATGCAGTCCGTCCTCCTCGGCAACAACTCCATTGCACGCATCGACACCCTGCCTGCGAGCGTGGCAAACCTTGACTTGAGCGGGAACACCATCACGAGCCTCCAAAACGTGTCATGGCCTGCGGACATGATCGAGCTGTCTCTGCGAGATAATTGCCTCACCAGCATCCAAGGCGTGCAGTGGCCGTCAACACTGACCCTGTTGCTGCTGGATCACAATGACATCAGCGACATATCAGGACAGGCGTGGCCCCCAACACTCCGGGAGCTCGACTTGCAGGCCAACAACATCAGCAATCTCGACAACCAAACCTGGCCCGAGACCATCACCCGCCTCTGGCTGCGGCACAACCGTATTGCCAGCATTGCGTCTCAGAAGTGGCCCGCCGCCCTTGAAGTGCTGTACCTCTCCAACAACCGCATCGCCAGCATTTCCACCAACGCGTCATGGCCACCAACGCTCCAGTATCTCTACTTGCATGACAACGCCATCACCCACCTTGGCTTGCAGCAGTGGCCCGACACGTTGCGCGACATCTTCCTGGACGAGAACCGCATCTCCACCATCGACAATCAGCGGTGGCCACCAAACCTGAACCAGCTCCTCCTTGCCAACAACAGCATCACCAGCGTCACGGGGCAGGTCTTCCCTTCGGGGCTCACTGTCCTGTTGCTTAGCGGAAACAACATCAGTGACATCAGCAACCAGCGGTGGCCACCATCGCTCGTGACGCTTGGCCTTGACCGAAACAACATCACCAGCATTTCCAACCAGACGTGGCCAGCAGGTCTCACGCTGCTTGGCCTCTCCAACAACACCCTGGGCCCCGACGGCATTGTCGGCCAGACATGGCCACCTGCGCTTGACGCCCTCTTCCTTGACTACACAGGCATCAGCAACATCTCTGCGCAACAGTGGCCGCGCAACCTGACCATGCTGCGACTCGAGCACAACAGCATCGCCGACATCAGCAGCCAGTCCTGGCCGCCGGCAGTGAAGGTGCTGCAGCTCTCTGACAACAACATCCAGAACATCACCGCACAGGCGTGGCCAGACACCGTCACCACGCTTGCCTTGAACGCCAACAGCATCTCTACGATCGACCAGCAGGCGTGGCCCAAGGCGCTACAAATTCTTCGCCTGCAGCAGAACGCCATCACCTCCATCATCAACCAGCGGTGGCCTGAAGGCTTGCGGGAGCTGCAGTTGCACGAGAATGGGATCTCGGCCGTTGGCAAGCAGCAGTGGCCACAGTCTTTGGTGACGCTGTTTCTTCACGCCAATCGCATCACAAGGCTGCCTGCTGGGCCCGGCGCATGGCCGCCAAGTCTCATTCGCCTCACCCTCCACAACAACACCATCGGCTCCATCAACGAACAGCATTGGCCACAAACCTTGGAAAGCCTCGTGCTCGTGAACAATAGCATCACCTCCTTGCCACAACGGCAGGGCTATTGGCCCAAGCCGCTGCGAAACCTGCTGCTTGCCTTCAACTCCATCACCAGCATCGACAATCAGGTGTGGCCACGTGGTCTGGAGACGCTCTTCCTGCACCAGAACAACATCACGCAGCTGCCAGTTGGGCCAGACGTGTGGCCTCCGCGGCTGCGCGCACTGACTCTCGGCTTCAATGCCATTGCCAGCATCCAACATCAGCAGTGGCCACCCACACTTGTTGACCTTGAGCTGCAGCGCAACAACATCAGCTCCATCCAAGGCCAAGTCTGGCCACCGCGGTTGACGGACCTGTGGCTGCATAACAATCCGCTCAAGTCAATTGAAGGGCAGCTCTGGCCCTCAACCTTGGAGATTCTGCAGCTTGCCGCGACGCAAATCAGCAGCATCGACACCCAGGTCTGGCCGGCAACCCTGAAAGAGCTGCGCCTGAGCGACAACGCCATTGCACACCTGCCAACCACCACGGGCTACTGGCCACGCGGGCTGGAGGAGCTTGACCTCGGTGACAACGACATCGACAGCATTGAGGGCCAGCACTGGCCCGGCTCGCTGCGTAGCCTCTCTTTGTCCGGCAATAAAGTCCGGAGCATTGTTGGGCAGGCATGGCCGATGCGCTTGGAGCACCTGTTCCTGAGCGTCAATTTCATCCCCAGCATTGAGGGGCAGCCGTGGCCGCGCGGTCTGACTCGTCTCTTCTTGTCGTCCAACGCCATCACAAAGCTGGGCACACAAGTCTGGCCGCCTGGGTTGCTGGAACTCAACTTTAACTCGAACCAGCTGACCTCCGTTGAAGGCCAGTCGTGGCCGACAACCTTGCAGCGACTAGGCCTGGCAAACAACAATCTGCAGAGGTTCGATGCTGAGGCCCTTCCAAATGGCCTGGAGGACCTCACGCTGTTTTCCAACGACATCAGCGTGCTCGAAAGCACTCAGTGGCCTTCCAACCTGAAGGAGCTGGGCCTCAGCTCGAACCGTCTGAGCGACGTCAGCTCGCAACAGTGGCCGCCTTTGCTGTCTGTGCTGAACCTACGTGACAACAAAGTCTCCAGCGTGGATGGCGTGAACTGGCCTCTCGAGCTGCGTCTTCTGCTCCTTGACACCAACCGCATCACCAGCATTGCACAGCAGACGTGGCCCTCGACTTTGACCCTGCTCACGCTCGGCAGCAATCGATTGACGTCCATCGCCAGCCAAGTCTGGCCGCGAGCTCTGCTCACGCTGCGGCTGGACAACAACGCCATTTCTTCCGTGGCGAACCAAACCTGGCCACCCTCGCTGAAGACCCTGTACCTTCAGCGCAACGCCATCGCATTTGATGACGACCCTGCTGTCAATGCCGCGTTCCACACAGCGTCATCCCTCACGACGCTTGACCTCTCCTTCAACGACATCTCCAGTCTGCAGGGGGTCGTATTCCCGGATGCGCTGCAACGGCTTGCCCTGAGAAACAACCGCCTGACCACACTGACGCAGAATGTGCATTGGCCACCACAGCTGACGCGTCTCATTCTCGACGCAAACCCATGGGAGGCGCTGATCAAGAACAACATCCACCTACGTGCTGGCGACGCCATTCCTGAGCTCACGCGTGGCCTCCCCTGCACCCTCGAGCAGCTCAGCATCGAGCATGGCGTGCAGCCATGGAGCTGCAGCCGCCACACCGTTGCCGCTGACATGTGCGACGATGACATGGTTGGCAGCTGTAGTATTGCAGGCATCGGCAAGTGCTCGTGGCCTTCCAATAGCAGCGCGGGCGCCACGGCATTGATGGATATGATGTTGGCGAACGGCAGCACCAGCACCAGCACCAGCACCAGCAGCACCAGCACCAGCAGCACCAGCACCAGCAGCACCAGCACCAGCAGCAGCAGTAGTAGTAGCAGCAGCAGCAGTAGTAGTAGTAGTAGTAGCAGCAGCAGCAGTCACCGGCAACAACAGCCACAACAGCCACAGCAGCAGCACATCTGGTCGTGTGAACTGACGGAAAGCGGACAGGCGCTCGTGTTGGCGCAAGACGCCAGCCGTGAGGTGATTGCTGAGAAGCAGGAAGACCAGACAAACGTGTTCTACGGCGTTGTTGGCGGCGCTTTCCTGTTGCTGTTTGTGCTCCTGGTTGCGCTGCACTCCAGATTCCAAGGTGTGAAGCGCATCGCACTGGTGCTGTTGATTCTCTTTGATGTGGCCACTGACTGGGGTTTCTGGGGCCTGGTGTTGACCACAGACGACTTCCGAGACAGCTACCAGTGCGAAACATCCTTTCCAGTGTACCGTTGCGAGGGCGCGGGTGCTGGCTTCTCATGCGACAGCTATGGCGACTTGAAGAGCGTGTGCGGCGGCCTGCCGTTTGCTCCAGCAGATGCAACAAACGAGTGCGAGTGCAACAGCAACACCTGCTTGTCCGGGTTTGTGTCCTTTGAGGAAACAGGCAGCTTTGTTGTTGTTGAAGATGCGTGTGACTTGTCACTGGACACGGACGACACTGGATTCGTCAAGTTCCAGCTGCAGTCGTGCACGACTTTTGGGTCTCTGGACAATTTCGCCAACCACACCTGCGGTTACCTAAACGCCAACGACCCGAATGCAACGGGCAGCAGCGAGTGCGAGTGCTATGGCGGGCAGTGTCGCGTGGTGCCCGGTGCAAGCGGGACGTGCCGCGGGTTTTACGGCGGTAACTACGAGGCGCTGGTGTGGGCGGCGTTTGCCTCCGTCGTTGTCGGCACCGCCATCGCCTTGATTGAGGCGGGTCGCGAATGGCAGAGCCAGCGCCGCGTCCGCGTCCACCTCACGTCCCAGCTCGCTGCCAGAGACGGGGGCCAGCGTGAGCAAGAGGCGCAAGAGGCACAAAAGGATCAAGTTGAGCAAGATGGGCAAGATTACATGGATGTGGTCGAGGAGGATGGGGGTGGTCAAGACGACAAAGGTGCATCGTTTGACATCGGAGTCCCGTTTGACGCCTTTGGTCAAGATCGGCAGGCTGGCGACGGTGGGTTGGAGCTGGAGCCTGGTGGGGGTGCTGACGATGGAGATGGCGAGGAGGATGGTGGAAACGGGGATGACAAGGGTGACAAGGTCGACAAGGTTGACAGGGTCGACAGGGTTGACATTGTGCTTGGTGTCCTGAGGCTGTTCCTGGAGGACTTGCCGCAGCTAGGTGTGCAAGTGATCTACCTCACCGTGCTCGGGCAGGAGCACGAGCCCACGGCGATTCTGAGCCTCGTCGTGACCTGTGTCTCCATTGTGGTGACGACCGTGTGGATGATGAGACAGTTGTAGGGGTAAAGGAGGGGGGTGTGGAGAGTGGAAGGGGGGTGTTGGTTTGGAGTGGAGTGGAAGGTTGTTTGGTTGGTTAGTTGTGTTTTTGGATGTGTGTGTGTGTGTGTGTGTGAGTGTGTGTGTGTGTGTGTGTGTGTGCAGTGACTCTATTCCTGTCGTGTCTTTGGTGAACTTTTCTCTCAGTCTTCTACTTCTCTATTTTTGTTTCTCCTCAACTTACCCCTCCGGTACTCCTCGGCGACGGAACACTGAGCTGCCGCTTGCCGTTGTCGTAGTGTAGTCGTCGTAGGTTTGGACAACAGTTGTTGTCAAAGCGCGCTCTCCATGAAGAAGGTGCCAATGTATCCTGAAGTCCTGAAGTCCTTGTGGCAGGCGCTTCTCTGCTTCTCTGCTTCTGCGCTTGTGACTTTGTGAGTTGTGTTGAGGTTTGAAAGGAGTGCGTGACGTTGACAAGTGGTCGTATCTTCATGTAGTTGTCAAAACCCTCCAAAACAGATCCAGTCAAGACGAAGAGCTTCTGTCATCAGGACGACCCAGACACTCACACACTCACAACGATGTCACGCTTCTTTCTTTTCTTTTTCTGCTTGACCCTCACCCTTCTGATGGTGTCCTCGTATGTACTGCCTCATGTTCTCTGCAGTGCACAAGCAGTCATTGAGGAGGATGCACTGGGCTCATTGCACATCAACACGAGTGACCCACAGCAGCAAAGGATTTTCTTGAATGGGATTGACGTTGATGCTATGTTGCACGCGCAGCAACGCACCATCAACGCGTACCAGGAGCTGCTTTCCGCTCAGCAGAGCATGATCGAAGCGCAGCGCGACATGTTGCAAAGTCAGCAGCACACGATTGAAACTGTACAAGCCGAAGGACAAGCGCTGAGCCAACAACTTGCAGCGCAATTGACGACCAACCGAGACCTTGAGAGTAATGATGCTGTGCTTCGCAGGCGACTGTGCGCCAATGGCGTGGCACCAAAGTCAACCACATTTAAGGTTGGCACTAACGCAAACCCAGAATGGTTTGGAGCTGTTGTCGGTCCGGATGGCCTCATCTATGGGATCCCGTTTCGATCAACGTCTATTCTTATTGTTGACCCCGTCACCCACACCGCAAAGAAGAGCGGGCACTTCACGGGTGACTTGAAGTGGGCGCATGGCGCTGTCGCCAACGGTCTCATCTTCGCGTTCCCATTCAAGTCGTCTGCTGTCCTCATCATCAACCCAAGCAATGGAGCTTTGACGACTGACACTTCGAGCATTTCTGGGCTTCCAGGGAACAGCAAATGGTCCGGTGGTGCCTTGGCGCGTAATGGGCTGATTTACGGCACACCATGGAACGCGGCGTCGGTGCTGATCATCAATCCGAGGACAAGAACAGCAGATACAACCTCGATTTCTGGCCTGGGAGGTGCCGAAAGCAAGTGGCATGGCGGTGTGGTGGGACCCGATGGTCGCATCTTTTGCGTTCCGTTCAATGCCAAGGCTGTTTTGATCATCAACCCAAAGTCCAATGTGGCCGATACCACCTCGCTTGCTGGTCTGGGATCCGCCACTTCAAAGTGGTTTGGAGGAGTCCTTGCTCGTAATGACCTCATCTACGGAATTCCTGCAGGCTCACGGTCGGTGCTGATCATAAATCCCAAGTCGCTGACAACCAACACAGGAACTATCAGCGGGTTACCAAGTCTCGGAAACAAGTGGCACGGCGGGGTGCTTGCCTCCGACGGCCGCATTGTGGCGATGCCGTTCACCGCACAATCGCAATCCGTTCTCATTATCGATCCTGCCACAAATACCGTTGATATGACTACGTTCACTGGTTACCGCGAAGGCGGCAAATGGAAGGAACCTGTTCGAGCAAGCAATGGGTTGATCTACGCTGTTCCCTACTTTTCCAGGAACGTTCTCGTTTTGGATCTTGGCTGCTGAAGTGCTGACTCAACCTGTTATGCGTGTGTGTGTGTGTGTGTGTGTGTGTGTGTGTGTGTGTGTGTGTGTGTGTGTGTGTGAGTGTGAGTGTGTGTGTGAATGAGTGAGTGAGTGAGTGAGTGAGTGTGTGTGTTTGTGAGAGAGAGTGTGTGTGAATGAGTGAGTGAGTGAGTGTGTGAGTGTTGTCGATTTTGCACCCTTCATGATTGGCGTCACTTGCACCCGAGACTGAACTGTTCACGCAATGTGACGAGCTTTACTTTCTTCAATCGCAAATCAAGACACAATGGCACTCTTGGCCAGTGACGTGATCAAACAAGTGCGGCTGGCTCTCAAGCCATGCCTGGGCCAGACAAACACACATACACGTACGAACACACACACACATACACACACACACCGACAACCAACACTGCAAAACATCTCAACAGAACGGCTTGCTACGGCTTCAACTGCTCTTGCTGTGCCCTGGCCTCTTCTTCCTCTTTGTTCTTCTGCGCGAGCTCGTCATCTGCCTTGCTGCTGTGCTGGTTGTGCCACAGGTACGAGTAGAAGCTGTTGGGGTCACGCAGCAGCTGCCAATGCGTTCCTCGCTCCGAGATGCGCCCGTCTCGCAGCACCTGCATAAATGTGTGCGCGCGCGTGTGTGTGTGCGTGTGTGTGTGTGTGTGTGTGTGTGTGTGTGTGTGTGTGTGTGTGTGTGTGTGTGCGTGCGTGTGTGTGTGTGTGTGGTTGTGAATGAATGTCAAGCACACTTTCACAGCCCCGCACCATCGCAATCAAGGTTTCGCACGCACACACAACCAATCTCGATAGATACTTACGAAGATGACATCTGCGTCCACGATGGTGGAGAGGCGGTGCGCAATGAACAAGCTCGTCCTTCCTCGTGCAACTTTATCCTGTACGCAACACACGCATGCCAGCATGGCACGCAAATGTACTTTGAGCACACGATAGCGCACTACAAAGAGCAGGGCAGCGCACACACGCACACAAACAAACAACAAACATTGGCACACACACACACGCACACACACACACACAAACAAACAAACAACAAACAACAAACACACACACGCACACAAACAAACAACAAACACACCCACACCGACAACACAACACAACACAACAACGACAGCAGCAACCCCATCCCGCGCCCTTCTCCCTCACTGACCACAGCGGCCATGATGTGCTTCTCCGTGATGGGATCGAGGGACGACGTCGCCTCGTCGTACAGCAGTATCGGCGAATCCTTCAGCACCGCACGCGCAATCGCCACTCGCTGCTTCTCTCCACCTGCAAGGATGTGTGTGTGTGTGTGTGCAGGTGTGTGCGGGTGTGTGTGTGTGTGTCGTTGCAGGTGTGTAAGCGCGTGGCGACCATCCTATGCCCAAGCAAAGCTACGCACACGCACACAGGTTGACACAAGCAAACAAACAAACAAACAAACAAACAAACAAACAAACAAACAAACAAACAAACAAACAAACAAACAAACAAACAAACAAACAAACAAACAAACAAACAAACAAACGAACAAACAAACAAACAAAACACACACACACACACACACACACACGTGCACGCACCCGAGAGTTTGAGTCCGCGCTCGCCAACGGCGGTCTCGTACTGCTGTGGAAGCTTGTGGATGATGTGGTGGAGATCAGCAATGCGGGCAGCGGCGTGGACCTCCTCCTCCGTCGACGACAGGCGCCCGTACTGGATGTTGTAGAAGATGCTGTCGTTGAACAACACGCAGTCCTGCCAGGGGTTGGTGTGTGTGCGTGTGCGTGTGTGTGTGTGTGTGTGTGTGTGTGTGTGTGTGTGTGTGTGTGTGTGTGTGTGTGTGTGTGTGTGTGTGGGAGCGTCAGTGAAGGTGTATGGATGCAATGGTGGGAGTGTCAGTGAAGGATTAAATTTGTCTGTGAGGTTGTCGGTGATATCCACAGATGGTGCCGGGTCGATCCCAGACACGCCAGCATACAAGTACATGATCATAGTACCTGGGGAACAACGCCCAGGGCGGCGCGGAGGCTTGGCAAGTTCACTTCCCGGATATCCTGTACACAACACGATGGTGTAGCATACGCATGGCGATGAGCGTCACACACACACACACAGACACACACACAGACACACACACAGACACACACACAGACACACACACAGACACAGACACACACACACACACACACACGCAAACACACACAGCATTCTGCACCTGTCCGTTGATGCGGATGGAGCCCGACTCTGGATCGTAGAAGCGATAGAGGAGACGAAGCGCAGTGGATTTGCTGTTGATTCGTTTGACAGGGGGCGGCGAGCAAGAGACGGACGTGAGCGAGGGTTGTAGTGCAGATGGCCAGGCAACATGGCCTGCAGAGCACGTGAATTGCACACACACACACACACACACACACACACACACACACACACACACACACACACACACACACACACACACAAACCCTCGACTACCACCACCGCCCCCAACACCCCCTCAACGACGCACCCGCTGCCGCTGGGCCCAACGATGGCGGCCTTCTTTCCAAACGGAATCTGGAACGAGACGTCCTCAAACACGCGCAGGCCGCTGTCATACGCAAACGACACGCGATCAAACTCAATGGCCGGCTGCTCTGTCGGCGTGATGATGGCGGGGGCGTGTCCGAGGAAATCCTTCTTGCGCGACTCAACAAACTCTGGCAGTTTCAGATCTGGCGCGTTCTCTGGCGTCTGCAGTTCACGGCATGCACGTGATCGTGTTGGGAAGGAGGGGGAGGTGGGGGTGGAGAAGGGATATGGGGATGGCGTGATAGTGCAGGGATGAGGGTGGATGAGGGTGGTAGAGAGATGAATATACCGATGATAAAGCTAGTGAGCACCATTGATTACACACCCACACACATCATATCACGTACAGTGATGGATGGCTTGAGGGCGAGGATGTCGAAGAGTGTGCGCATGTCAATGAGCGACTGCTTGACCTCGCGGTACACGGTGCCAAGGAAGTTGAGCGGCATCGCCAGCTGGAACAGAAGTCCGTTCACCATCACCAGATGCCCAACGCTCGCCTCCCCTGATAACACAGCGCAGTTGTCAGTGGTGATGGTGGTTGAGTGTGGTGTGGTGTGGTATGTGTGTGGAGGGGGGATTGTTGTTGTTTGGGACGTTGGGACAAGATGTACTGGTGAGTGGGGAATGCACACAACTGAGATGACGCGACACGCAGACACACACACACACACACACACACACACACACACACACACACACACACACACACACACACACACACACACACACACACACACACACACACACACACACGATACAAACCCCCTCCCAACACACGCATGTACGTACATCCAACAAGCATGGCGCCGGCGGAGGTGAAGACGGCGGTGACGGGGGACATGGAGGCGACCGTGTCTGCCGTGTCGTTGAGCATGTCAACTGCATCCTTGAAGAAGAACGGCACTTGCACATTCAACACCTGCAAACAAGCAACTGCAGTGAGTGGGTGTGCGGTGAAGCCCATCTACACCAAGTTCTATTCACCTTTCCAACAAATTCTCTGCACCCACCCCCAATTCCCTCCCATTCCACACCTTGGAGGAGACGAGCAGCGCCAGTGCCCCGAGCACACGTGCTTTGAGATCCCACGCCTTGTCCGGCCAGAGGAACCGGCCGAGGCCGCGAACAATGTCGCCACTCGCCATGGATTCATTCTCAGCGTTCACTTGCTGCGGCGTGGTTCTCTGCGAGCAGCCAACAAAGCACGGTGGCCGTGAGCGACAGCTGAAGCACGCCAGGCAGCGCAGCTGCGTCTACGACGGCAACGCGCGCATGCTAATGTGCCCTTCTGGATCCCCCATCACACACACACGCACCTGCTTCTGGATGGTCGTGTTTGGCTTGTCCTTGACGTTGGAGTTGAGCTTGGTGCTGGTCGAGCTCAGGGCACGATACAGCACCTGGTTTAGTGGTCGTGCTTGCTGCTGCTGCCTCATGGCTACACCTTGCCACGCCAAGCCTACCCTCTGTCCACTGCAAAAAGGAAGTGCGGTGGATGAACGTGCATGAGGTGTAGGAGGAGAGGAAGGTGCATGAAGTTGAGGAGGGGAGCCAGGAACACACAAGTAAACACGCACACATGCACAGACAGACAGACAGACAGACAGATACACAGACACACACACACACACACACACACACACAAAAGTGCACGCACAATCCCGTCCACCCCCTCACACACACACACGTACCTGTGGAGGAGTCGTCTGCAGCCACAGGCGTGCCCGAGCGCCGCGTTCCTCGCCAAGGCACGACTGCCGCCTCTCAACAGCATCATCATCGTTGCTGCATGTTGAGCATTGCCACCTGCTGCCATCATCACCGTCATCCTCGTCATCCGCCGCAGTGCAGAAAATCAAGGCAAATCATTCACAACTCTTCCCAAATCCAAATCCCGAACAAGCAAACAGGCAAACAAACAAGAGGGTGTGTGTTTTTGTTTTGGGTGTGCGTGTGCTTGTGGGTGTTGTCCCCTGCTGTGGTTCCACCTGCATCCAATCGCTGTTGGCGTGTGTGGTGGAAGCAGTGAGTCTATCGATCACCCCGATCAATCAGCCAGCCAACGGCTGAGCAAGGAAGCCTGTGGCACCAGCCATGGGCGGGAAACAAAGCAAGGCGGATCTGGCCTCGCCGTACACGGCCACGGACGACGGCACTCGTGATTTTGGCACCTTCCCCTGCTCGTACCTGGGCCACTGCAATGTGGGCAGTGTGGCTGCCAGCCAGGCGGTCATTGACGGTGCACAGCGCATCATCAACGCGCGAAATCCCAAGACCAAGGTCAGTCAGTCTCTCAACACAATCAAGCAAACCAACGCTTGGGTTGAGTGTTGACATGCTGCGATCAATCACGCATGTGCTGTCGTTTGGCTGTCCTTCTGCACAACACACACACACACACACACGCACACACACACACACACACACACACACACACACACACACACACACACACACACACACACACACACACACACACACACACACACACATTGCCCTCTTCGTCCTAATCCTTTTCCTTCCCCTGACTCCGGTTTGTGTCTTGAAAGGTGTTTGTGAACGTGACGTCGCAGGGGCTGTCGGTGCTAGATCCGCGCTCCAATATCCCGGTGACAGCAGCACCGCTGCAGCGCATCTCCTTCATCTCGCAGCTGGGCCGCAAGCAGAAGCTCGTTGCGTACCTGCACCGGGAATCCGAGTCCGCGTGCATCTGCCACGTGCTGAAGAGCAAGAAGCTGGCGGGTGCCATCACCCAGGCCGTGCGTGGCGCATTCGAGGCAGCGCACTCTGCAGCGAAGCAGCAGCAGCAGCGCCCGCGCGCCCGCTCAGCGTGGGGCAACGCGCAAGGCTCATCGTCGTCACCAGCAGCAAAGGCGAGTAATGGCGGCAGTCGGGATGCCGGGAACAGGCCGCGGGCAGCGACGCACCGAGGGCACGCGCAGGAGCAGCCGTCGCTGTTGCTGGAGAATGGGGCGCGATCATCACGCGACAACGCGGCAGAGCAGCCACAAGACAGGCAAGACAGCCTTGCAGAGTCAGAACAGTCACAACAACAACAACAACAGCCACAACAACAACCACAGCAGTCGCCACGAGTGTTGACACTGGGTGGCGTGGACACGAGGTCCAGTCGCGACGACACGGGCATGGCGGATCAGGAGGACGCAGGGGCCGGTCTGGACGTGTCTGCGATGCCGCCCGCGGAGAAGCCCAGCGTGCACGCGTGCCACTACCTCGGCCACACGACGGTGACACACCCAACTGGGGATGAGGTGGCGGCGGAGTCCGCACAGGAGGCGATTCGGGCCAACAAGCCGCGAAAGGCGCAGCTGGAGGTGACAACAGACATGATTTTGGTCCGTGATGCAAAGCACGGCGACGTGTTGCATCAGGTGCCCGTGTCTGAGATCAGCTTCTTCACCATCAGCAAGAGGAAGCGCACGCTGCTGTCGTTCATCACCTGTGACCGCGAGAACATCATGTTCTGCCACACGCTGCGCTTCAAGAACACAAAGTCGTGTGTGCATGCAAGCAACACCATCGGCACCGCCTTTGTCAAGGGGGCAGAGGCAGCCAACGCCAGCGCACGTAAGTCTGTTGATTTGCGTGCGCGCGCGCGCGCGCGCGTGTGTGTGTGTGTGTGTGTGTGTGTGTGTGTGTGTGTGTGTGTGTGTGTGTGTGTGTGTGTGTGTGTGTGTGTGTGTGTGTGTGTGTGTGTGTGTGTGTGTGTGTGTGTGTGTGTGTGTGTGTGTGTGTGTGTGTGTGTTTGGAACTGGTGACCCTCGCGCGCAAGCACAACTCTATCCAATACCAACCCCCTCCCCAATTCGTTGACCTCACCACCAACCCCAACACCACCCTCCCCATACACTTCCACCACCCTTCACCACCCCCCCCCCGCAGGCCGTGCGAGTTCGCCTGCCACGTCCTTTGCGCGGCATTTGACCACATCGTCACTGCATCAGCGCAACCCGGCTGCCCCTCTCGGCCTATTTGAAGCACAGTTTCTAGGAACAGTCCCCGTGGAGAACAAGCGCAAGCACGAAGTGTGCGAGGACGCCGCCCTCTCTTTGCTGGTGCGGGTACTGTTTGCGCATGTGTGCGTGTGTGTGTGTGTGTGCACTATGTGTGCGTGTGTGTGTGTGTGTGCACTATGTGTGCGTGTGTGTGTGTGTGTGCACTATGTGTGTGTGTGTGTATGCGTGCATTGTGTGATGTGATGGACGTAATGCTCACTTTCATCTATCGCCTTCATTCACACACACACACACACACTCACACACACACACACACACACACACACACACACACACAAACACACACACACACACACATATCGTCACACACGTCCACCTTTCCCCAGTTGACAAAGCCGGCGCCGACACAGGTTGCCATCAGCGTGAGCGGCGAGGGCATCAAGGTTGTGGAGGCAACCACGTCCGAGGTCCTCACCAGCATCCCAATCAAGAACATCACGTGAGTCGTGTGGGTTTGTGGGTGTGGATTTGTTCGCGTACGTGCGTGGTGCACACGCACTGCGATGATGATACGCGGCACAGCTTCCCCATGGCGTATCATCTATTTCTTCTCCTTCTTTTTCCCTCACAAGTTCAGTCACCACTGCCTTGCTTGCGTCAGGTACACGACGGTGGTGAACAACCGCAAGATTCTGAAGAAAGACAAATCGCGCGGCGCCAAGGCAGACGAGCCCCTCGTTGTGCTCATGAACCACGTGCGCGTGATGTGATGTGATGTGATGTGATGTGCGGGTGTGATGTGATGTGATGTGATGTGTGCGTGCGGGCGTGATGTATTATGTGCTGTGCGTATCTGATACGATGGCACTCGTGTGTCATATCGACGTACGTGCACTCGTTTCATGTGCCCGTGTCCCCACCCCACGCACTACACCCCACCCCAAATCTCAACACGCTCCCCGCTCAACCGACACCACACACACGCACGTTCAACCCCTTCAGGACTCGCGGCTGTCCCGGACGGCCTGCGAGATCTTCCGCGCAGGGCGGCGGGCGGCGCAGGTGTGCGAGACGATCAACATTGCGTTCACCGTCGCCCTGGATAAGCAGAAGCGGCAGAAGAACAACGCCTTTGCTGCCGTTTCTTCAAAACGCGAGCCCGTGAAAGGCCCGCTGTTTAAACGCCAGATCCACCGTCGCGATTTGCGTCCCATGCGCGCCATTGGCATGGGGCAGTTTGGGGAGGTGTTTCTGTCACTGCAGCACGTGAAGCCTGGTACGGGCGAGGATGGTGGAAACACGGTCCACCGCGCCGTGAAACTCCTCCGAAACGGCGCATCCGCTGCCGATCGCGTGCGTATTGGATTCGGGTTGATACCGTGCGTGCGTGTGCTAGTGCGTGTGTGTGTGTGTATTTGTGTGTGTGTGTGTATTTGTGTGTGTGTGTGTGTGTGTGTGTGTGTGTATTTGTGTGTGTGTGTGTGTATTTGTGTGTGTGCGTGCGTGTGCATTTGTGTATGTGTGTGTGGGTGTGTGTGTGCTTGTGTGCGCGTTATGTGCTTGTGTGCTCGCATGCATTTTTTGTCTTGTGTGCGCATGCCCTGATCCGTTGCGGTCCACTCCTCCCCCATCCTCAGGAGGAGTTCCTGCGGGAGGCGGAGGTGATGCTGGCGTTTGACCACGTCAACCTCGTCCGCTTGATCGGTGTCGCCGTCCAGCAGCGGCCCTGGCTCTGTGTCCTCGAATACATGCAGGTGTGTGTGTGTGTGAATGGGTGGTTGTGCGTGTGTGTGTGTGTGTGTGTGTGTGTGTGAATGGGTGTTTGTGTGTCTCTGTGTACGTGTCTACTTTGGTCTGTTTCCACATATCCACTGCCCCATCCTGACCTTCACTCCTCCCCCCCCCCTGCTCATCACACCATCTCCCTGCACCCCCACCCATCCACTGTCCTCCCTCGCACTGCAGTACGGCGATTTGCGGTCTGTGCTGCACACGGCGCGCGAGAAGGGCCTCAAGCTCACGTTTCTCGAGTCCCTCAAGTTTGCTGTGCAGATTGCCACAGGTACGGTCATGTTCCATTGCAGTTGTTTGAGGTGATGTGAACGGTTGATGCACAGAGTGACTCAAAGAGACAGAAACACAAGATGCACAACACACGCACATACACACATACACACACACACACACGCACACACACACACACACAACAATCGTCACACCCCTTCACCCCTCCCCCCTCCCCTCTTCCCTCGTCAGGCATGGAGTACCTGTCGTCGCTCGGGTACATCCACATGGACCTGGCCGCGCGAAATTGTCTCCTCGGAGAGAAGAATCTCGTCAAAATTGCAGACTTTGGCCTCGTGCGTTGATGTGATTGCGCGTTGCTTGCGTGTTGCGTGCTTGTTGCTTGCGTGTTGATTGCGTGTTGCTTGCTTGTTGATTGCGTGTTGCTTGCGCGTTGCCTGCGTGTTGCTTGCGTGTTGCTTGTTGCTTGCGTGCATATGTGTGTACATGTTTGTGTGTGTGTGCGCGTCTGTTGTGCGTCGCTAAGCCTTCAACATCTCTGCTCTGCCTCACCTGGGTCGCACTCACATCCCTCCTTCTTCATCAACAGACGCGCACGTGCAAGCCTGGCCGCGACTACTACCGCCTCACAACCACACTCAAGCTCCCCATCAAGTGGATGGCAATTGGTCCGTATCTCGCGCTCACAGTGTGTGTGCGTGTGTGTGCGTATGCATGTTTGTGTGTGTGTGTGTGTGTGCGTGTGTGTATGTGTGTGTATGTGTGTGTACGTGTGTGTACGTGCGTGCGCGCTGACGGTTGTGATGCCTGTGACGTCCTATCCCCCCACCCCCACATGCTCTTCACAGCCCGCCCTGTCTTCATCCTCATTCTCTCTCACGTTCACATTCCCATCATCTCCGTTCTCGTTCACAGAGAGCATGGAGGAGAAGCTGTTTTCCACCAAGAGCGACGTGTGGGCATTTGGCGTCACCTGCTGGGAGGTTTTCAGGTGTGTGTTTTGTGTGTATGCGTGTTCGTTCCGTCTCGCTGTTTAATTAACACACACACACACACACACACACACACACACACACACACACACACACACACACACACACACAAGCACGTGCACACATTCTCATCTTCGCTCACCCCCTCCCCCACACCGCCGCCACCACCAACCGCTGTACCTACTTTCCATCCTTTGCAGCTATGGAGCGGTGCCGTACGGAGCAGTGAAGAATATGGATGTGCAGGAGAAGATTCGTGCGGGCATGCGGCTGTCCTGTCCAGCAGCGTGCCCACAGGCGTTTTACTCCAAAGTGCTGGAATTGTGCTGGCTCAAGGAGTGGCGACGGCGTCCGACATTCACAGACCTCCGCCGCTTCATCATCAAGTGCGTGCAAGCTCGCGTACACGTGCATGTGGATGTGGGTGTGGATGTGCATGAATCGGTACATGCAAGTTCTTTTCCTGTTCCTCCTTCATCACACACACATACACACACACACACACAATCACACACACACACACATACACACACACACACACACACACACACACACTCTCTCTCTCTCTCCCTCGCACACTACCCGCCCCCTTCCCCAAACACACACACACACACACACTGCAGGTTTGCGCGGCAGGCAAAGGAGACGAGCCCGATGCTGCGGGATGTGGGTCGGGCGCTCAAGGTGTGGAACAAGCAGCTTGAAGAACAGCAGCGCCAGGCCATCGCCACCGCGCAGGCATCGTCATCATCAGCCTCCTCCACAACAGACCCATCATCAACATCGAAGCAGCAGCAGCAACAGCAGCAACAACAGCAGCAACAGCAACAGCAGCAGCAACAGTCACCAAAGCACTCGCCAAAGCACTCGCCAAAGCACTCGCCAAAGCGAGCGAGAAAGGGACAGATTAGCCCCGTCCTCGTTGAAGGCGCAACAGTGTCGAGCGTGTCTGCAATGGTAGCTGATGTGGATGACGAGACGGTGGAAGGGTCAACCGATGATCGCAGCGCCACAGCTGATGGTGTCGGAGGCACTGCTCGTGACACCGATGCTGATGCGAGACAGAAGGGCCAGCCGTCCACTTCCTCCTCCTCCGCCGCGGGCGCAGCAGCTGCAGGCGATGACGACGACGAAGAAGACGCAGATTACTACTCGGACGAAGACGGCGACATCCTTGTCATTCGCCGACCACACAAGCCGCAACAGCAAACGGAGGAGAACAAGTCACTCCTGCAACAACAACAGCTGCAGCCAAAGCAGCAACGACAGCCACAACAACTTCAACAACAGCAGCAGCTAAGCGACGCTGGTGGTTACAGCACACGCCACCACGCAGCGTCGCCGCAACACGAACAATCGCAGCAGCCGCAACAGCCGCCACGCCTCACTCTGGACATGACCAACTCGTCGTCAGATGTGTCCACGGATGACGTTGAAGGACAAGGTGATGGCGACGATGATGCAAGCGCGCTGGCTGCGCGGTTACAGTCGGACCGTACCATCTCCTTTGAGCTCGGCCCGGACCTTGAAGTGGTCGTGGGCGGGCCACAGCAGCCCTCGTAGCCGTGTCGCCACGTGCGACAGACTGATACAAGACCCTTGCTTCCCTGATTTTTGTGTGACCGACACTCCGTACTTCTTTTTGATTGACCCCTTGTTGCGTTCACTTCCCTTTGCATTAGTTGCATTTGTTACAACCAATCCCTGTGTTCTTCCCCCTCTTCCCGTTGCCTTTTCATTTGTTTCATTGTTACTTGCCCTCTGTTCTCCTTGCCTTGCGTGGCCGGTTCACGCACCCTTTGCTTCCCAATGCTGGCAGATGGCTGTTGGGGGCGGGCGGTTGTGAGTCGGACACACAAGTCGTGTGCGACAACAACAACCACCTCCCCAGGCCTCTCGTTCATCACTTTTGCGACACCATGAATTGCCGTTGAATAGAATGTTAGCGGTATCAACCGATATTTTTCCACAATCACAGGCAACGCCAACGCCGACAAACCGTGCTGCTGTGATCGTTCGTGAGGTTGTGTGGTTGTGGTCGCACTCACGTCAACAGAGTCTTCACCTCTCCGAGTGAGACCTTTGATTCGCTCGCTCGTTCAGGACACAGGAACAACAACAGCCAAAAACAACCCACTCGACAGCCGTCACGATGGACGACGTCGAGCAGCTCCAGCAGCTCTCGCTGGTGTCTAAAGTCGTCACCGAGCTGGAGAACAACTGCGGCATCTCCGACCCTTCACTCGGTGCGTCGTGTGCTGTGCGTGAATGTGTTTGTGCGTGTGCGTGTGGATGTGAATGTGTTTGGGTGTGTGTTTTGTTGTGTGTGTGTGTGTGTGTATGAGTACATGTGTGTGTGTGTGTGTGTTGTCCCTGTTTCACGTGCTTTTCTCTCAGCGCGGCTGTCCTTTCTCGAACCTTACTTGTATTCACGCTTGTTCATGCTTCTCCAACTCCAAACAACAGCCGAGTTCCTGATCCATTTGGCCGGTGAACATGACAACGCAGACAGCTTCAGGCAAGCCCTGGACGACATGGACGGCGGCCTGGATGTAAGCGCTACTGCACGGTTGAATGTCTCGTGCTTGATGCGAGTCACACACACACACACACACACACACACACACACACACACACACACACACACACACACACACACACACACACACACACACACACACACACACCCTTCTGCCTCCCCTCACCTGTCTCACCTTTCTCATTCTTTTCACATCCTGTTTTACCCCTCTCCCCCCTCCCAACTCCCCACCATGTAGGCACCCTTTGCACTCAGTTTGTGGCGACTGATCGACCGCCTCACACCCGACAGCAAGAAGAAGAAGAAGAAGAAGAAGAAGGCACAAACACAGGCATCGGAGCAGAACGATGGCAGCGCCGACGACAGCGATGGCGCCGCGCATGCCAAGCGTAAGCCAGATGATGAGAAGGCGGAGAAGCGCCGCAAGGCGTTCCCTGCGTTGGCCATCCCCGACAAGAAGGCGCCAGACCTCAACGACCCAGAGGCAGAAGCCAAGGATAAGCAAATCGCGCTGGAAGCCCTGGACCGCCTGGAGTCGTTCCTCTCTTCCTCCAAGACGGCCGGCGCTGATCACGATGCGCCGCCACCAGAGGACGTGGACGCGGTGCACCCAGAACGCCGCCACCTCACCCAGACACGCGACGCACCCCGCGATCGCAGCCGTGATCGTGGCCGTGATCGTGGCAGTCGTCGCTCGCGTTCGCGCTCGCGTTCCCCTGGTGGTCGCGGCCGCCATCGCCGCAGCCGTCGGTCCCGTACGCGCTCCCGCTCCCGCACACGCTCGCCCGACCGGGACGATCTCGGTCGCCGCCGCCGCCCGCGCCGCAGGCGATGGGACGACTATGACGACGACACCAGAGACACTGACCGCGACCACCGCGATCGCCGGCACCGCAGGAGCAGGAGCAGGAGCAGGGACCGTGGCCGCCACCACGACCGCGACCACCGTGACCGCCGCGCAGGCGGTGATGAGGACCCGGAGCCCGTGCAGGGGAAGGTGTACGAGGGCAAGGTGACGGGCATCATGCAGTACGGGTGTTTTGTGTCGCTGCTCGGCGTGCGCGGCAGGCCAGACGGCATGGTGCACGTGAGCAACATGAGCCCGACCGGCGCGCACGTGGCAGACCCCAACGACGTGGTGAAGCGCGGGCAGACGGTGTATGTCAAGGTGCAGTCCCGCATCAACAACAAGATCAGCCTGACGATGAAGGACATTGACCAGTCCACCGGCGAGGACGTTGCCGCCGCTCGCCGAGCACCGCTGCTCCCACAGCCGGGCGGCGCAGCATCAGCATCGGCATCAGCGCCAGGACCGCAAGCACCACCGGGTGCCGGTGTTGGCGGGGCGATGAACCCGCCCGTTGGTGGGCAGAACCCGGACAAGCCGCGCGGCCACGAGGTGTTTATTCCCGAGGAGACGGGCCCCGCGCGCGCTAAGAAGCGGCTGACGTCGCCGGAGAAGTGGGAGCTGAAGCAGCTGATTGCGGCGGGTGTGATTGACCCGACGGAACACCCTGACTACGACGAGGAGACGGGCCTGCTGCCCCAGGACGACGGCGGTGACGAGGAGCTGGAGATTGAGCTGGTGGAGGAGGAGCCCGCCTTCCTCTCCGGGCAGACGCGCAACGTCGACCTGTCCCCCGTGCGCATTGTGAAGAACCCTGACGGCTCGCTGCAGCGCGCGGCCCTGACGCAAGCCGAGCTGGTGCGCGAGCGCCGCGAGCTGCGCAATGCCAAGCGCGAGGCGGAGGAGCAGGCGGACGACCGCGTCATGGACCAGGACTGGCACGACCCGATGAAGGCCGGCAACCGCGTGGAGGCGTCGCGCGGGCGGCTGGAGCACCGCGACATGCCCGAGTGGAAGCGGGCAACCATTGGCGGCAAGGCGGTGTCGTTTGGCAAGAAGACGGACAAGTCGATGGAGGAGCAACGCAGGTCGCTGCCCATCTTCCAGCTCAAGAGCGAGCTCATGCAGGCCGTGCACGACCACCAGGTGCTGATTGTGATTGGCGAGACGGGCTCTGGCAAGACCACGCAGATGACGCAGTACATCTACGAGATGGGGTACGGCAAGAAGGGCCGCATCGGGTGCACGCAGCCGCGCCGCGTGGCCGCCATGTCCGTTGCCAAGCGCGTGAGCGAGGAGTTTGGCTGCCGCCTGGGCGCGGAGGTGGGCTACACCATCCGTTTTGAGGACTGCACCAGCCCGGAGACGCGCATCAAGTACATGACGGACGGCATGCTGCTGCGCGAGTGCCTGATTGACTCTGCGATGAGCGCGTACTCCGTCATCATCCTGGACGAGGCGCACGAGCGCACCATCCACACGGACGTGCTGTTTGGCCTGCTGAAGAAGGCGGTGCTGGAACGGCCCAACGACCTCAAGCTCATTGTCACCTCCGCCACGCTCGACTCTGAGAAGTTTTCCGAGTACTTTTTCGAAGCGCCCATCTTCACCATCCCCGGGCGCACGTTCCCCGTGACGACGCTGTACACCAAGGACCCGGAGACGGACTACCTCGACGCCGCGCTCATCACCATCATGCAGATCCACCTGACGGAGCCCCCGGGCGACATTCTGCTGTTCCTCACGGGCCAGGAGGAGATTGACACGGCGTGCGAGATTCTGTACGAGCGCATGAAGGCGCTTGGCAAGGACATGCCCGAGCTGCTGATCCTGCCCGTGTACTCTGCGCTGCCGAGCGAGATGCAGACGCGCATCTTCGAGCCGGCGCCGCCGGGCGGCCGTAAGGTCGTCATTGCCACCAACATTGCGGAGACGTCGCTCACCATCGACGGCATCTACTACGTGGTGGACCCCGGGTTTGTGAAGCAGAAGGTGTACAACTCCAAGACGGGCATGGACTCGCTGGTGGTGACGCCCATCTCGCAGCAGCAGGCGAACCAGCGGTCTGGGCGCGCCGGGCGTACGGGTCCCGGAAAGTGCTACCGGCTGTACACGGAGCGCGCGTACCGCGAAGAGATGCTGGAGACGGCGGTGCCCGAGATTCAGCGCACCAACCTGGCCAACACGGTGCTGTCGCTCAAGGCGATGGGCATCAACGACCTTCTGTCGTTTGACTTCATGGACGCGCCGCCCACGGAGACGCTCATCCTGGCCCTGGACAACCTGCACTCGCTCGGGGCGCTGGACGACGAGGGCCTGCTGACGCGGTTGGGCCGGCGCATGGCCGAGTTCCCGCTGGAGCCGCAGCTGTCGAAGATGCTCATCCAGTCCACGCACCTGGGCTGCAGCGACGAGATTCTGACCATTGTGTCGATGCTGTCCGTGCAGGGCGTGTTCTACCGCCCGAAGGAGAAGGCTGCGCTGGCCGACCAGCGCAAGGCCAAGTTTCACCAGATGGAGGGCGACCACCTCACGCTGCTGCAGGTGTACCGCTCGTGGGAGAACAACAAGTGCTCCAACCCGTGGTGCTACGAGAACTTCATCCACGCGCGGTCGCTGCGTCGCGCGCAGGACGTGCGCAAGCAGATGATTGGCATCATGGACCGGCACAAGCTGGACATTGTGTCCTGCGGGCGCAACTTCAAGCGCGTGCAGATGGCCATCACGTCCGGCTTCTTCCGCAACGCCGCCAAGAAGGACCCGACGGAGGGCTACAAGACGCTTGTTGACCAGCAGCAGGTGTACATCCACCCGAGCAGCTCGCTGTGGAACCGGCAACCGGAGTGGCTGGTGTACCACGAGGTTGCGGTCACCACCAAGGAGTACATGCGCACCGTGACGACCATCGACCCCAAGTGGCTGGTGGAGTTTGCGCCCGCCTTCTTCAAGGTTGCCGATCCCACGCGCATGAGCAAGCGCAAGGCCAACGAGCGCATTGAGCCGCTGTACAACAAGTACGAGGAGCCCGACGCCTGGCGCATCTCCAGGACCCGCAGGCGCGCAAAGAAGCGCGTCTAGTGTGTTTACGTGTTTGTGTGTGTGTGTTTGCATGTGTGTGTCATGTGTGTGTCATGTGTGTGTGTGTGTGTGCATGTGTGTGTGTGTGTGTGTGCATGCGTGTGTGTGTGTGTGTGTGTTGGTTTGTTTTGTGTGGCAGTTTTCGCACTCATCCGCGGTCAAAAAAAGCGAGTTTGGTTGCCTTGTCTTGTCTTGTCTTGCTTGTGGCATGATTCTATCGATGTTTCATTTGTTAGCGGGGTTCTCAGCGGTAGCCCACATACAACAGCACCAGGTTCACGTTGACAAACAAAAACAGAGAAGACGGGGCTAGGGAAAAAGAGACGCGTCGTTGGACGCAGGGGAGTATGACGCAAAGAAATATGGCGCGAGCACATGTGACAAGGGCATGCATGGCACACGCATGTACGCATGTACGCACACACACACACACACACACACACACACACACACACACACACACACACAAATACACACACACACACACATGTACTTGCACAGCATATGTCATCACGGGAGGCTGGCGGCAGGGATATCCACCTCCTGGTCGTTGTAAATGTTCTCGGCCATCTGCCAAATCTGCATAATGTTGTCCTCAGCGACACTGGCCACCACCCATGGGTCATTGGGGTTCCAGGAGAAATCGGAAATCTTCGACGTGTGGCCGCCGTGCACAAACAGCAGTTCTGGCGGGCCGTCCTCGGCGTCTTCCGCAGACTGGTCGTCCCCGATTTTGCTGCAATGCAATGCAATGCATTGTGTGTGTGTGTGTGCGTGTGTGTGTGTGTGTGTGTGTGTGTGTGTGTGTGTGTGTGTGTGTGTGTGTGTGTGTGTGTGTGTGTGTGTGTGTGTGTGTGTGTGTGTGTGTGTGTGTGTGTGTGTGTGTGTGTGTGAGTATGAAAGGCGAGTCAAAGGTCGAATAACATCCTCCCTCTTCCACCCACAGCTACAAAGATTCGAGTGTGGGCTCACCTGAGGTCCCAGACGTGAACGCGCCTGTCCGTGCCGCTCGACGCAAGAATCGTCTCGTAGTGCGGCGACCATTGTACCTGTTGGTGGTCGACGGGAGGTGAGTCGTTGGAGATTGGTGGGTGGCAACGGATGTTAAGTGGTGGTTGGTGAGTGGTGAAGGATGTTGTGCACCGCAGCTGACCACGACCACGGAGACGGAACACATCAACACGCAAGGTGGCAACGCGGTCAGCGCAATCGCAAACACGACTCACACGCGCACGCGCAAACACAAACGCAAACACATGCTGACCTGGAAGATTTCGTTGGTGTGGGACTCGAGCGAGAAGAGTTTCACCTTGAGGTTGCGCATGTCCCACAGCGCCACCGTCTACAGAGCGACGAAAGTGGATGATGTGTGGGTGGGTGAGGGAGGTTCGGGTTGCCACGAGTTGGGAGGGTGATGGCGCAAACATAATCAAGATACACACGCATCCACACACACACACACACACACACACACACACACACACACACACACACACACACACACACACACACACACACACACACACCTCGTCGGCTGAACCTGTCGCCAGGATGTATTCGCAAAAGGGGTTAAAGGAGAGGCAGTTGACCTCACGATCGTGGGCCTTGATGCTGTGGCGCGGCCGCGTGCTGTCACCAACACGCGTGTCCCAGCTGTTGACGTGGGTGGGTGTATGGTGTGGGAGCGTGTTTTGCGTCATGAATGAGCACGTGGGGTTGTCAGATGAACGTGCACATGGTGCCAAATTCGATTAAGCAGGGACGTAAGCGGGCACTCGTCACACAATACAGAACGCGCAATCTAACACATTGGACAAGACAGCGCATGGTGGTGGGTGGTGTGACAGCGACGCACATGTTGAGGAAGCAGTCGTCGCCGACGGAGCCAAAGAGGGAATCGTGCAGCGCGTGCCATTGCACGTCCTGCCACCGTATACGACGGTGGTTGATGTGAGAGGTGAGGTTGATGTGAGGCGAGGGCAGGAACGAAATGCCACGTATGCGTGGAGTGAAAGTCAATAAATGGCAACATATCACACACACACACACACACACACACACACACACACACACACACACACACACACCTCAACGATGGCGGAGTGTCCTGAGAATTTTGTCGTTGCGTCGAGGACGTTGTCGCCAGTTGTGCCTTGGTTGATGTCCCACAGACACACGAGCTGTTTGGAGGTGGAACGGGGTGTGCAATGGGGTGTCAGTGAGTGGTGAAACTGCTGAAGTACATGAGGAGGAAATTGTTGTCAATCATCTTCACACGCACACACACACACGCACACACACACACACACACACACACACACACACACACACAGACACAGACACACACACACACACACACACACACACACCATGTCGTCGGCTGCGGAGAGGAGGTGGCCGTCCTTGTGCAGGTTCCACGAGAGGCCGTAGCTGCAATGGTGAACACAGGAAAGCATGTACTCGATTGAATGAGGCAACGAGGCGGGTTCCATCAGACACACATGCACACACACACACACACACACACACACACACACACATACACGCACACACGCATACACGCACACATACACGTTCGTACGCGTTTGTACACACACGCACACTCCTACACGTGTCGACGCACCCTTCCTTTGTGTGGCCGCGCAGGCGCAGTTGGCAGTTGACCTCTTCGTCGCCGGCCTCTGTGTGTCCACGTGTCACGCAGACAGAACAAACAAAGTCAGTGTGAAGGTTCAAGCAAAGCTGGTGCATGCGTGCTTGACTTGACTACCTTCACAAGACTTGCTCACTCCCAGCACCGGCCTTTTCTGCCATCCCGCCACCTCCGACTGGCTCCCAACAACTCGTTACGCAGAGCACAATCAGACGCTCTCATGCACCTGCACATGAACGCACTTGGCTGGGACGGGTGCTTGGTGATGTCGTAGATGAGCACATCCGGCTGCGGCGTCTTCGTGGCGATGATGTGCGGGTTCTGCGGCATATACCGCGCCCTGCCCAGCATGGTGGTGGTGGTGGTCGTAGTGGTGGTGATGGTGGTGGTGATGGTGATGGTGAAATGAGTGCGGTAGATGACGGTGCTGCTGTTGTGATGGTGCACCGTGCATTGGCAGCAAGCAGCAAGCAGCAAGCGTGTTACCTGTGCACTTCTCCTGGGTGGTTCATGCGGACCTTGACCTCCACCTTGCCGGCCACCGAACCAAAGCCGCCATACTCTGAGGGGTTGTGTCGACAGAAGGGAAGCAGACGTCACACAGCCAGGGGGTGTGTTTGGTTGGTTTCGTGTGAGATGAAATGTGAGTGAGAGGGACCGCTGGCATGTGGTCGCAGAGCACGGACACGATCAAGCTTAGTGCAGTACGCGGTGTGCAAATTCCACCACACACAAAAAGGCCCACCTCCTTTCTCGTCGTCGTATTTGCGTGCGTCAATGGTTGCGTCCGAGTTTGGCAGTTGCACATTGGCCACAATCAGGTAGTTTGGCTCGTCACCAGACCTGCACAGTGTGTGTTGCAGTCATTGCACGTGAGGCAACGAGGAGGAAACACAGGTAGACAGGCAAACCACACACACACAACAAAGCACACGCATACGTACACATGTATACACACACACACACTGAGTGGGTGACTCACGTGTGGGTGCCGAGGATGATGCGGTGGGTGCTGTAGTCCTTGCCTTCCGGCCTGTGAGAGAAGACAAGATTGGTGATGCCCGTGAGCCAATTGTGCATTATTGACGCAGGTCAAGGTTTCAGACACGCACGCACACACACACACACACGCACGCACGCACACGAACGAGCGAACGAAGTGAATCTCCCTCCCCCACTTGACTTCTTCACCTGGTCACGTCGGGAAGCCATTGTGCAGTCAGCGAAGGCCACTCGAGGGCGTGTGTCATGACCATGTCATACCTGAACAAGCACAAAATGAATGCATGTGTTCGTGGGTGAATGAGAAAGGGATGAGGTGCAGCACGACTGAGGTTGTCTTTCACAACACACACACACGCATACACACCATACACACACACACATATGCACGTGAGTATACAAAGTGACACGCACAGGAATGGTGTGTTCTTCTTCCAGATCTTGTATTCCTCGTTGATGAGCCTCTGCTCTGCAGGGTCCAGCTGCAGCGGGTCATCGCCTGGTCATGTGTGCGTTCATGTGTGAGTGTGTGCTCATGTGTGAGTGTGCGTGGGAGAAGGCGTGTCGAAGCAGCAGCAGACACAAGCACACACATATTCACACACACACACAAACACACATTCACAAACACACACACAAACACGCACACGCACACCTCCTTGTTTGGCTGAGCTCATGATGGTGGTGCTGCTGTGTGTTGGTGTGGTGGGGTGCCTCGTCCACTGTCTCTGTTCGTCTGTTCACCTTCTGGCTTCGTGTGTGTGGATGTGTGCGATTCTCGTTTTTTGGCGCCCAGCAAAAAAAAAAAAAAAGAATTCTGTGGATTTGCAAATTGCATCGAAGCTGTTGACAATTTGCAACACAGCACTTTGTGATGTCGCCTCCACCTTATCGTTTCGCATGGCGATGACGTCATGTGGGGCATGCAAAGTGTGCAAATCGTGCGGCATTGCATCAAGATTGTCCTGAATCGGTATGGGTTGGGACAAATTGGCGCGCGTTTCGCGGTCGCGTAGGCGAATGTAGGCCCAACGCTGGCTTTTGGGAAAGTTGCAGTTGCAAAGAAAGGAGAAGGCACGAGCAACAACCAAACAAAACAACGCAACAACACACAAAACAAAACAAACACAAAAAAGCCACAGCCGTGAAAGCCACACACAAACAAAACAAACGAACACGCACCGCGACGCCACCCACCCACACAAAGTCAAGTGTAATCATTCCAAAACCTTCTCGCATCATCGCTCATCACACCCCACCAAGAAGAAAGCAAAGCACAGCAACAAAAAGGCTGGCACAGCAGCGCGCTCACCCACACGACAACCAAACCTAACACGCGGCACCCCAGTCACAATCACATCACAAGGCGCGGCGCACGAAAAACACACCACTTTGCACGCGTCTGTGGTTGTTCTGACTGCGGCGTCTCGTTTTCACCCGTGTCAGCGCGGCAGCAGCAAGACACAAGCAAGCGACAACCACACCCACACACACACACACCGCGCAGAAGCCGCCCCATACACACATCGCGGCAGCGAACGTTTGACACCACCGGAGATCAGCGTTTCAAACACCTGTTGACGCAAGCCAACGAAGCAACACGCAACAACAACAAGGTGAGCCACTCTCACCGCCCTTGCTTGCGCTATTCATCATTGGCACGCCGCCCCAGTGATATCAAACCCCACCACTAGCCACACCCGTGTTTCGCTTGGGATTGGTTTGTTGTGAACACATCATCACAATCACGCGCTTCCCCAACCTGACGTTGAGCACTTGACTCACGTCATTTGCTTTTGATACACCAACCCGCCCATTCCAACGTCATTCCCCCCCCCCCTCGTTCTTGTCGTGTGCTTGCTCTCCGCTCGGCGATCGCGTCTTCCTTCCCTTTCTCCTGTCTGCGCACCCTCTCTCTTCAGTGCCTGCAGGCAATCGACGATCGGGTGTTTCTCAAGCCTCCTTCACAGGTTGGTGACATCAGCATCACCGATCTATCGGCATTTCCTCGCGTGCTTCCACGAACCTACTTCACTTCCTCCCTCCTGAGGTGCGTGTAGCCAGGTGGCGTGGTGAAGTTCTGGCCATTGTGGCTTGCTGCTTGGTGGTGGCGTGCCTGCTGTGAACAGCACTTGCGCGTGCATTTCGTCGTGGCGCACATGCCACCCGAGCGCCGTCTCGCGTCATCGAAGCCAACCACCACCACGCCCATGCAATTGAGGTTGTGGACGAGACGCGCCAACGTCACGCACGTATCACATCTCATCACGCGCCTCCAACCGCTCCTCCCACCACCTCATTATCGCCTCACTTTGCGTCTGCTGCTGTTGTTGTTGCGGTACATCATCCTCCTGCCCCTTGAATGTGTTTTACGGCGTGTTTGCGTCCGTGTTCGTGCGTGAGCCAGGTATCAAAACCATTTTCCACCTCGCTCCCAGCCTCGCCATTGCTCGACCCCTCGATTACCACCACATTGCGCAGAGCAACACCACATTGCGCAGAGCAGAGCAACACCACATATCGACTCGACCACCTCAACACCTCAACGCCTTCCACACCCCAAGACTTCCACACCTCCCACACCTCCCATACCGCGAACAGCAACAGTCCACCGCATCAGCACACGCCTGTCCCGTTGCCCCCATCTTCGTTTTGAGGTGCAATGTCCATCTCGTGCGTCATGGCACAGAACAACAAAGCAAGTGGGGCTTCGAGCCCGCGCAGCAGCCGCCGCAGCAGCGTCGCCGACGTGCTGTGCATCGCATGCTCTCAGTACGAGGGCGACCGCTCAAGCATGGACATTGGCAAGGTGGCCATGGACAACCCAGCCGTCATGGACTTTTGCACAAACGTCTGCTCAAAGATCATCGAGGCCAAGTCCCACCTGAGAGGCGCTACAAAGTCCAAGGACGAAGAAGTCACACAGGCATACGTGCCCTGGCTCAAGACCCTCAAGACAGACGCCACATCCGGTCCAGCAAACAAGATGCTCAGTGAGTGGCATGTGCATGCATGCACTTGTGTGTGTGTGTGTGTGTGTGTGTGTGTGTGTGTCTGTGTGTGTGTGCGTGCGTGCGTGCGTGTAAACAGCAGCAGTGTTTTGAGTCGAATGCAAGTAGCCAAGTGACAACACTAAGCGACGGCGCTATTGCTGGTTTGTTTGGATGTGCGAAGGCCACCCACAAGCTCGTCAGCTCACGTCACACGTTTCTGTCTGGCTTGTTGTTCCCTCTCGCTTCCTCTGGCAACAGCGGACACGGTGACGACGTTTTCCGCACTGATGTGCCTCAAGCACTTGCTCAAACACAACGCCAGCACCAGCCCCATCTTGAAGCGCTTGGGGCCGACCGCGAAACCTGTGAGTCGCCTCCTTCGCCATTCTTGCATCCATGCATGCAAGCAACACCAACACACAGTCATCGGTGGGGACAGCTGCTGTGACACCTGTTGTGCCAGCTGTTAATACCATCGTCCATTTGCCGCTTGCTCACTCTGCACTCACTGTTCACTCTACTTCTAAATGTGTGATGATGATGCAGAAGAAGCAGCGTGCTTCAGTTTTGCCAGCAGGCACCACCGAAAAGCTGATCAAGGACCTATTTATGATCAAGCACTCTCGCAGCTGCACCGAGGTGCGTGCGTGCGTGCGTGCGTGCGTGCGTGCGTGTGTGTGTGTGTGTGTGTGTGTGTGTGTGTGTGTGTGTGTGTGTGTGTGTGTGTGTGTGTGTGTGTGTGTGCATTCCTTCCTTTCGTCCAATACTCCTGCTCACACCCCACGTGTCATGATGATGCAGGCGGCGTGCTCGCTGCAGTTTTGCAAGGGAATGAAGGAGTTTATCCAAAAGGCCGATGATCTGAGCTGGGAGGATGCAACAGACGGTGCGCCTTTGGTGCTGTCTGTTTGTCTGATTGTTTGTACGCGCTGTTGGTACGCGCCAACACTTGCTTGGTCATCCTCCAGCAACAACAACAGCTGAAACACGTGCCTCACCTGCTCCACCCCCCCCCCTCCCCCCTGCACTTTGGACCTCTGCTTTGCGTGTTTTATTAGATTGCCTCTATCTGAAACAGCTGGAGAAGCACAACGAGCGCTGCCACAGCGCCATGTGCACTGTCTGCACAGCCGTGCGCAAGCGCCTCGAGACACAGCAGGTTGGTGTTCAGCAAGTCATGCTTGCACCTCTCTTGTGTATTGTGTGTGTGTGTGTATGTGTGTGTGTGCGTGTGTGTGTGTGTGTGTGTGTGTGTGTGTGTGTGTGTGTGTTTGTTTGGCATACCAGCGTGCGATTGCATACCGTGCCATTCGCTGCTGCCTCATGTTTTTGTTTGCTTCAACTACCTCGAATCTAGAAACTTGCTGCTGCTGAAGGCTTGGAGCAGTTGCGTGCAAGCACAGAATCACTCGATTCCCATGCGTCCTCGTCCACACAGGCCAAGACCGCTCGTGCGAGACAGGCCCGCTCCGTCAGCATGCCCCCGCGCCCAGACGCTGCGACAATGCAGGTGGGGTTTGTGTGTAAGTGTGTGTATGCTTGTGTTTGTGAGTGTGTTTGTGTTTGTGTTTGTGTTTTTGTATGTGTTTGTGAGTGTGTTTGTGTCTGTGTTTGTGTTTGTGTTTGTGTTTGTGTTTGTGTTTGTGTTTGTGTTTGCGCCTGTGTGTGTTTACTTGTGTAAGCATGTGCTGCTTCGCCGAACTATGTATGCATTCTGTAGCTCATGCTCACACGTCCCCTTTCTTTCCTGCCCCCCCTCTCCATGTTCCCATCTTTCCATCCACCAAGATGATGCAAGCTCAACAGTTTGCGCAGCAGCAGCAACAAATGCAACAGCAGCAGTTCCAACAGTCCATGGGCTATCCCATGATGATGTATCCAAACTCGATGTGGCAGATGATGCCCATGCAGCAGTACCCGCAGCCAATGGTGAGCCGAGGCGACCCAACCAAGTGTCTGTTCGTGTGCTGTGTGTATTTGCATGGTGCGCTTGCCTCGTGCGTGGGTCTGGATTATGTGTATTTCTGTTTCTGTGCATGCGCCTGTCGCAAGTATGAATGCCATGCGTTTGCGTGGCTCCTTCCATATCCGCCCTTCACCTTCACTCCTCTCACACCCACCTTATCGCTGTTGCTTTCCACCCTCTAAACAGCAGCAAATGTTCGCCGCGCCATCAGGACCCTACGGCTTTGTCCACCCCATGAACTACCCGCTTGCACAGGTGTGTGGTTGTGTGTGCGTGCGTGCGTGCGTGCGTGCGTGTGTCTGTGTGCGTGTGTGCGTGTGTGTGTCTGTGCGCGCGTGTGCGTGCTCTGTCTGCATTGCGACGCATTGTTGCGTTTGTTGTGCGTTATTTCCCATTCATTGCTGATAAGCTCATGCACCCTTGTGTTACACACTACACGACCACGTATCCGATGACAGCAACAACAGCTGCTGCCTGGCTCCTCGCCAGCGATCAACACAATGGCCCCCGGGTCACCCAGCGTCATGTCAACGGTGCGTTGGATGAAGCGTTGCTCGTGTGTTGCCGCGCGTTTGCTGCACCTGTGGCCCTCGCCCCCTCGCAAGTGCTGCCCCAATGATGCTCGCACCCGAGTCCACCCGTCCCCCCCCCAACACACACACACACACACACATGTCTCTCACGCGTGCACTCATGTAACTGCCGCCTTCGTTTGTTGCCTCCATTTTATTTATTTTTTGTTGTTCTTGCAGGATTCGCACCAGCCAGCCATGACTACGGCCATGACGATGGCGACAACAATGGGATCTGCAACCCCGCCGTCGTTTGCAACAGCGCTGCGCCAGGGCCGCTTCAAGGCGCACTCCACCCCCGTCCCGCCAAACCTCAACGAGATGGACGAGGACGACGACGACGACGACGAAGACGGGGAAGAGGAACAGGAGGAGTGAGCTGCTGTGGCCGTGATGGTCGTGGTGCACATGTCACGACGCCGCCACCAACAGTACTACAGTACTGTGTCCTCAACTCCTCCTTCAGTCCTTCCACCTCCCTCTTCCTCCTTGGCTGCGCGCTTGTTATCTTTGCTGTGTAAAATCGACCTGTACTTTTTTTTTTTTTCGTATCTTGACCTACCTGCGTTGCTTCTGCCGTTGTGCACGCGTTTCTGTGCGTGCGTACATGCATATGTGTGCATGTGCATTTGCATGTGTATGCGCACGTCCCCACCGCGGGACATTCGCCAAATGGTTCTCCTCCAATTTCCTTTGCTCGCTTGCTCTCTCTCTTTTTGTTCTTCACTTACCCGTCTGTGGCGGACAGGTGTCTGCGTGCTTGCATGCATGCAACGCCTGTGTTGTAAAGAGAGCGAGTGTTGGAGCCAAGACAACTTAGTGCCACGACTGACAAGGAAGGTGCAGTTTGTTCTCAGTGTAGACGTGTGGGCAATGCTGCTGTTTTGTTTCTGCCCATCGCATCGTGGTAGACTGAAAATAAACGCCTTCGCTGTCGCAATCGTTTCAATGCAGCTGACCTACAGGGAGAAGGGAGGAAGAGAGGAGGGGGGGGGGGTGGCAAGAAAGAACAAGGAAAGAAATACAGCACGCAGACAATGGTATGCAGCAGGACTGCTTTTGTTTTGCAGCTGGACTGCTTTTGTTTTGCAGATGCACACACATGTCCGCACACACACACGTGCAGAAGAAGGGTAAGTTGTTATCGCTTGACTAGGAAGGCGCGTACGGCCATGAGGAAGGTATCAAAGTTCTTTGTGAATATTGTACGGTTCTTGCGGGTATTCTTGCACTGGAGCCCGTTGTCGTGCACGAGCGCATACAGCGCCGACGACAAGCGCTCTTTGGACTCGGCAGGCTGCAGTGTAGAGCAGTGCGGCAGAGAGATTGTGAGTCAGTGACAGCATTGTATGGACGTGTATGAATGAAGGTGTGTGTGTGTGTGTATGTACTCGCGTTTATGTGTATGTGTGTGTGTTTATGTGTATGTGTGTGTGTTTATGTGTGTGTGTGTGTGTTAGCGAAGGAGGGGAAATGACACCCTCGTGTTTGCAGCGTTGTCAAGCATGAGCTGGTATGTGAGTTCACCTGCGCTGCGATCAGCTCCGTGCACATGGCCTCAAATTGTTGCTGCACAGCAAACACGTACAGTACACATGGGTGAGCACAGTCGAGTTCGTAGCAACCTAACATCCACACACACGCGTGCATTCACGACAAGGGACACGTGGTCCACAAGTTGTGCTCTGCACGGCACAGCACAGCACGGCGCTGCATGCCCCACCATATCACAGCAGATGAGGAAGAAGAGGGTGCCGGACGCCAGGTCCAGTAGATCCATGTCAAAGGACTGCAGCACGAACCAATCAAACACGAACCGCTGGAAATGCTTCACCACATCCACAAACGCCGGGTTCACAGAGTGCCCGCGCTCCAGCTTGAAGGGAGAACAGGCAAGTGTGTGTGTGTGTGTGTGTGTGTGTGTGTGTGTGTTTGCGTAAGTATGTATGTGTGCGTGTCTTGTGTAGAGCAGTGTCACTCAATGGCACATTTATCGTCACACACACACACACACATACACACACACACACACACATACACGCACACACACGCCCACGGGGTGTCGTACGAATTTGAGGTGGACGCTGGCGAGGTTTTGGAGGATGGCGAGGGAGCAGCGTGCCACGTTCCCACTGAGCGCCTGAACGCCGATGGTCAGCGACTGCACAAACTGCTGCAGCAGCTCAGCAGACCCGTGATACACCTGCAGGGATGGATGCGTGGATGGATGGATGGATGGACGGATGGATGGATGGATGGATGGATGGATGGATGGATGGTGTGAGCGGTTGGCAGTGCGGTGCTAGCAAAGGTGATCGAAAGTGCACAACAGGCGGCTGATTACAGTCACGATGCACGATGAACGATGAGCGCATGCACCTTCTCGGGAAATCCTTCGCAGGCCATGTCCAGGAGGGCGTAATATGTCTTGGCAATCAGCGGCTCCTGTGGTGATGTGAAGTTGCGGGAACAGTGCGTCAGCGGCATGGGTGTGGTAGCAGGGGGTTATGGCCATGGAAAGAGCAGGAAGGAACGCGGACCTTCACACACACACACACACGCGCGCGCGCGCGCACACACACACACACACACACACACACACACACACAACACACACACGCGCGCGCACACAACACACACACACACACACACACACACAACACACACACACACACACACACACACACACACACCGTCGCGCGCGCACACACACACACCAAAATGACCCTGACCTGGAGCATCTCTGTTGTGAGGAGCGGGACGACGAGGTTGATGCCGAGCAGCGCGACGTCGCCGGCCTCCGTCTCACCGGGACCCGTCTCGTGCAGGTCAAAGTTCTCAAAGTACTCTGCACCGTGGCCAGCGCGATGATGATGTTGGTGTCGATGATGGGAGGACAAGGTGGCATTATGAGATGCAGTGTGACAGCGAAATCAAATTCATTCGAAAAGGACGATCTTGGAAAAACACGTGGAGTTCACACGTATGCATGTCAGCGCAAACACACACACGCACGCGTGCACGATGATTGCCTTGCATGGCACACCTGTGCTTGCAAGCTCGTGCAGGACTTGGAGGACGAGCAGCACTTCGTCGTGTTCTTCATCCTCCTGCAGCGACGAAGACACCTGCGGAACAGTTGCGCGTGTGCGTGTATGTGTGAACTGATGATGTGGAGTTGTTTCAAACGCAGCTCATTGCAACACGGATACATGCACGCTCGCGACAAACCATGCATTGTTCCATCAAGGCCTCAGTTGTCACCACCACCTTGACCACCACCACCACCACATTGCTGTCACCATCCCATCACCTTTGTTTGGTTGGCGCCGGCCCACTCCTGTAGAAAGCGCTGCATGCATGTGTACGTGAAGGCGAGCGCGGCGTTGTGCTCTCCGCTGCTCAGCGCAGGCGATATCCAATACGACGTCACGTCCTTGAATAACTGCACCACGTGCACCCGCATCTGCGTGTGTGTGTGTGTGTGTGTGTGTGTGTGTGTGTGTGTGTGTGTGTGTGTGTGTGTGTGTGTGTGTGTGTGTGTGTGTGTGTGAGGGAGGGAGAGAGAGTGTGTGTGTGTGCATGTGTACGTGAACACAACAACCAACACAGCACACGCGCGTACCACCGTCTACAGACACGTGCATGGTGTGTGCATATTCACCTTCTGGAAGAGGACTGCGAGCATGTGAGCACCGCCCTCGCCCTTGAAGGCGGCGACGAGCGATGCGCTGAGCGGCTGCGAGTAGGACGATTCGTCCAGCAGCAAATATGTGTTGGCCACCCGCTGGAAGAAGAACATCGTCGACGCAGCAACCTGTCGAGTGGTAGCAACGGCAAGGAATGATAGTCACTGCATGGGTTTTTTTTTTTAAGTCGGAAAGGGAGTGACGAGCGAAGTACTGCTGCATACGCACACCCGCGCCACTGTCCCTTCTAACCCCACCAATACCGCCACCAATACCGCCACCACCACTGCCGACCTGCGGGCTGAGGTTGGCGACGGCGCCGGAGTCGAAGCAGCGGTGCTCGTGCTGCATCAGCTCAAACACGTGCCGCACGATAGAAACGGCAGGGTTGGATACGCCTGATGTACATGCAGAGGGTGAGGCTGACGGCGTGTGTATGAGAAGCAGATTGCGGACATCTGATAGAAGGAAATGTGCACAATGCAACCAAGGACGAACCACAAGAGAAACGTTGGCAAACATTGCACCGCGAGCCAAACACGGCTGTCACCACACCGCAACCCAAACCACCCCAACAAAGCGCCACAACCACGTGTAACTGCGTACCGGACTGTTCGCACTGCAGGGCGAGGGCGGTGATCTGCTGTGGGATGAGCGGCACTTCGCCCTCGTGCGGATCAGCCAGGACCGCAGCGGATATCAGCAGCAGCCAGTGCACCTCCTCATGCGCAACGCACACCGCAGCTGACGTAATTTGAAGAGGGGGAGGGGGGATTGACGTGTGGAATGTCGTGGTGTGTGCGATGTGAATCGATGTGATGCATCATGACATGAACGTGTGTGTGTGTGTGTGTCATTTGCTGAAGCCTGCAAACAAGAGCCGCGCTTGCAAGCAGTTGCACTACCAGTACAAGGACAGCGCCACACCTTGGTCCTGGTCCGTTGTCGTCAGCATGGACATGTATGCCGGCACCTTGGTGCTGAGCTGCAGCATCGCGAATACATGTGTTGGTGGTGATTTCCGTGGATGGAGTGGTAACAGATGGAGCAAAGGTCGAGGGAAACGACACGGAACACCGCCATACACACACACACACACACACACACACGCACGCACGCACACACACACACACACACACACACACACACACACAACACGATCATACCATCTGCAGCAGGGTGCCGAGAGACTGGTCAGGGAGGACGCGTGCGAGCGTGGCGACACCACAGAGTTGGTCGTGATACAGCACGTCGTCGGCCTCCGTCTCCTCCTCCACCTCCTCGTCAGCCAGCGCATCACGCTGCGCCTTCTGCATGCGACTGTCGACATACTGCTGAAACACCTGCTGCAAGTACGGCTGCCACGACGCCTGAACCTGGGACTGGATTGTTGTTTGCAGGTACAAGTTCGCATGTGCGTATGTGTATGCCATGTGTGAGGGTGTCTCAGCATGTAAACATCACAGACAAACTCGCGCCCCTCATCCACAAGCGAACAACAGCGCCACCGCTACCATCCACCCCTCTCCCCCACCTCGTCCTCGGCGATTGCGAGCCACCCGTTGAGACAGGCGTCAAAGGCCTCTGCGTAGCACGGGTCGTCATCCTCCTCCATCGTCATGCAGTGCAGCGACAGCGCCGTCAGCGCCGTAAACGTGTTCAGCACGCTTTTCTGCTCGCCCTCGTCCAGACCGCTGAGCGACGTCGCCCTGAATGTGCGCATGACGGAGGACAGCATGCTCGCCTGCGCCAACGTTGTCGACCCTGCAGCAGTGGTGGTGTTGGAGGTGGTGTTGGTGTAATTGAGATGAGGGGGCTACTTGATGGTGGTTGGGAAGCCTGAAGCAGGAAAGCAACGCAGAATTTTACACACACAAACACACACACACACACACACACGCACACACACACACACACACACACACACACACACACACACACACACACACACACACACACACACACACACACACACACACACACACACACCTGTGACTGCGGCCATGTTGTGCTGTGCGAGCTGTGTGAGGGACTGGGCAATACCGCCCAGGCCGCGGAGATACGCGCCGAGATATTCCAGCTGCTGCACGACGTCGTTGAAGGATGTGGTGGCAACGCAGCCCAGCTGTATCAGGCACTGCTGCGTTGGGTGGAGCAGGTCCGGCTCATCGCTCGTCAGCACGTGCAGCTGAACAGGCGATGGAGGGGATGGTAGAGGGGAACACGTGAGCCCTTATGCACACCACACACACACACACACACACACACACACATGACACACACACACATGACACACACACACACACATCACCACCACTATTACACACCAAGCATCCAAACAAAGAGCACCTTGAAAAAGATGTCGCAGAGGTTTGGCACGAGGACGTCTGCCCACTGCGGTCCCGGTTTGAAGTAGGGGCTCGTCACGTGGTGGAACGACCCGAGCAGCCTGCACGCGCAGTGGTGGTGGTGGTGGTGGTGGTGGCGGTAAGATGTTGCGGCGTGGTGGTGGTTGTGGTGAATGGCAGTGATGATGGTGGCGTCCAACAGCAAGGGGTCAATGCAGCGATAGCAAATCATCCCGTGAAAACGCAGGCACGCCACTCCTCCCGTCACAATCCCATCCACCACCACCGCCATCGCACCTCCTGACGCTGGCCGGACAGAACTGCCAGCGCAGGACGGCCTCTGCGACACCCAGTGTCAGCTGGAGCACGTGGTAGTGGCTCGCGTACGACTGCTGCTCCGTAAACACCTGCAGTGAGCGAGGGCGGCGGCAGCGATGAGGAACAATGTGGCGCGCGCTTGCGCCAAGCGCTCGCTCTTCAAACACACACACATACACACACACACACATACACACACACACATACACACACACACACACACACACACACACACACACACACACACACACACACACACACACACACACACACACACACACACACACATACACACACACACACACACACCCGCAGGACGCGGACGGCGATGACGAAGATGCGCTTGAGGGCGTCCTGCTCAAACGAGCGCTTGGCGGTCAGGTGGAACTCCCACGCGAGGCCGACGGCACTCGACTTGGACGACGACGAGAACTCATGCAGCATTTGGCGGGAGAGCGACAGGCCAACACTTTGCTGGTAGGTGGAAGAGAGACAGAAGGAGAGGGAGAGAGCAAGTTTGGGGTGAGGTTGACGTTGTTCAGCCGATTGTTATCGCAGCGAAGCATACATGGCCACACACAAACACACACACACACAAACACACTCACGCACACGCACACGCACACGCACGCACACACACACACACACACACGCACACACACACACACACACACACGCACGCACATGCACACAAACATACACACACGCAAACGCACACACACGCGCGCACACGCACACACGCACCATGAACGAGTCATCTTGGAAGATGAGGCTCTCGGCTTGCTCGAAGAAGGTGTCTGCGACACCGGCATGCGTCCAGCTCAGCTTGAAGCAAATGGCCACACACGCCAAGCCCTGCGTCATGGCAAAGCTCGCCAGCCTGTCACACACGCACACACACACGCACATGGACAGCAAGGCAAAGGACGCAACAGATGGAAGTTGCAGTGGCAAATGGGTGAGATCGTGCGATTGGGCACATCGTGTTACCTGCCTCAAACACACACACACACACACACACACACACACACACACACACACATGTACACACACACATGCATGACGCACGGCCTGGCGCCAAACACTACAACTCCTCACCCTTGTCGCCGGGTGATGAAGGAAAGAACGTTGTCGCGGATGGATGCGATTGCATCAGACTCCAGCACGCTGAACTCGCGAATCACGCCCTCCTTGATGGCCTCGAATGTCTCGAAGATAACATAATCGTTGCTGGCGGCGTCTGGACGAAGTGACGGCACCATGGCAAAACGGGAAGTTAGGTGTGAGCGGTGCCGACATAAGAAGCGCTGGCAGCACGACCGACACAAGAAGCGCTGGCAGCACGGCAAACATGTGGCGTTGCTGTTCCCACCACAACCCACTCACCGAGGATCTGAAAACACAGCTCGTATGGCCGTTCCGTGCGCTTAAAGTCCAGAAACACTTGCTCAGCATGCTTGATGGTTTCTGCAGTTTGGGGCGTCACGCCCTATCATTGACGTGGGATACGTGTGTGTGTGTGTGTTTGTGTGTGTGTGTGTGTGTGTGTGTGTGTGTGTGTATGTGTGTGTGTGTATGTGTGTGTATGTGTGTGTGTGTGTGTGTGTGTGTGTGTGTGTGTGCGTGTGTCAGTGAGAGTGGATTGGCGCTTGTGAATGGATTGGGGCACATGCCGAGTGTATGTGCCGATCGCGCGCCATGCGTGTGTATTCATCACTCGTGCGCCGCTCAGACTCCATCAGCCACGCAACGCGCCTGCGCTTTTCGCTCGCACCAGTCGTTCTTCCCTTCTCCCCTGTTCCTTACCATCATGCAGTCCGCTGCCTGTGTGAGCATGCGCAACAGCTCGTCCACGTTGCGATGGCCACCGCTGCCACTGCCGCTCATCTTCGTTGTTCTGTGCGCGGCTTTGACGTGCGTTGTAGAGGATTTGTTGAAATGGTCAACTGTTTTTCGGCAACGGTCGCAGCAAAGCGGAAGCTGCTGCGCACTCGTCTAACGACGTCCTCGACAAGCTACCTCCAGCCAGCGACCTC